TTTGTTTTGTTTTGTTTTGTTTTGTTTTGTTTTGTTTTGTTTTGTTTTTCGAGACAGGGTTTCTCTGTATAGCCCTGGCTGTCCTGGAACTCACTCTGTAGACCAGGCTGGCTTCGAACTCAGAAATCCGCCTGCCTCTGCCTCCCAAGTGCTGGGATTAAAGGCGTGCACCACCACCGCCCGGCTCTGGCAGTCTTATTATATATGGGTGTCACACATGTTACAATGAATGGCCCTACTACATGTCATTGTAGCCAGGGCCACTGTTAACCTTAGAAGACAGCCTATGGGCTTGAACAAATGTCTAGCCCAGGTCCCACATTAGAGTGATATACAGATCGATCATGGGATCCTTTGTCTCTTTGCCTCTTCATCTCTTCCCCACTGCACCCTCACAGCCTGCTCCATAGCTTTCCAGGTTGGTGGCACCTCACAGGAGGTCACACAGCATGGGGCCTTTTGTGTGTGGCTTCTTTCCCTTAGTTATGTACATTTAAAGTTTTCCTCAGCTCCTTACCCTGTAGAGTCATCACAGCTTGGTGTCTGGTTTTCCATCTCTCTGTTTACACTGAACTAGTCACTTTCAAGTTCGGGCATCAATGAAAGTGCCGCGGCATTCCTGGGCGTGTGGATCACTCAGGTGAGTTAACAGACTTCTGAGTGCTGTTATTTCACCTTTCTGAGCTCTTATTTCAGAAGGGTGTTTTGTTTTTTGAGAGAGGATTTCACTATGTGGTCCAGGCTGACCTCAAACTCTTTGACTCTCCTTTCTCAGTCTCTGGGGTGCTGGGATTAAATGGTATGTGTCATCACTTCTAACTTAGATCTGCCTTTTACAGGCAGCATAAAACACATTTGAAATGTCTGCAGAGAAGTAGATGAAGCAAAGAAAGCAAAATATTAACTGCAGATGTGTAGGCTGTGGATGCATGAATGCTGTATAATTCTTTTTAGCTTTTCTGTTTGAAGTATTTCATAATAGAATATTAATAATAAAATTAAAAGACAAAATCTAAAGCCCTTCGGAGCATTCTGTTGGGTGTGTAAAATCTAATAGGCTATTCAGAAACAGTGGAGAGCTCCTATCTGGACCCTGGGTCTAGTTTCCAGCTGTGGGAAATCACTTAGGCTAGAATGTTGCTGGACTAAAGTAGTATCCCAAGCTCTGAGGTTAGTTAACTCCCTTTCTTTTCCTGCCTGGACCACAGGGAACTGTGTTGTTGGCCACCAGCAGAGGATGCCTGTAATAGTACCAAAAAGGGATTTCAAACTAGGCTCTCCTTTTGGGACACACAGACATAATTACTTAACGGTGGTCTACTGGAAATCGGTATCGAGCTATGTCTCTGCATACTGAGTTCTTGTGTGTAGACTTTAGGACTGCCAATGGTTGCAGTCTTCTGTGCTCATGTGACTCAACCTTGCACTCCATTGCAGGAATCTCAAATCTTCCACTGGGTCATAGGACATTTTCTGCCTAGGGACTGTCATGAGATCTCAGACTTGAAGAGGTCTTGGTACTTACGGAGTAAAGAGACATAGCCCCCCAGTTCTCACTGTACCTCCCTTATCTTAAGTTATATTGTCTCTTACTGTGAAGAGACACTAGTGACCTTTGGCAACTTTTATAAAGAAAAATATTTAGTTGGGGCTGGTTTACAGGTTCAGAGACTTATTATCATCATAGTGGGAAGCATATAAGCATACAGACAGACGTGATGCTAGAGAAAGAGCCAAGAGGTCTATATCTGGATTGCCAGGCAACAGGAAGAGAAAGAGTCACTAGGTCTAGCTTGACCTTCTGAAAACCCAAAGCCCACCCCCAGTGGTTACACCAAGGCTACACCTCATAATAGTACCACTCCCTATGGGCCTGTGGGGGCCATTCTTTTTTTTTTTTTTTTTTTTTTTTTTTTTTTTGGTTTTTCGAGACAGGGTTTCTCTGTGTAGCCCTGGCTGTCCTGGAACTCACTCTGTAGACCAGGCTGGCCTCGAACTCAGAAATCCACCTGCCTCTGCCTCCCAAGTGCTGGGATTAAAGGCGTGCGCCACCACCGCCCGGCTCTGTGGGGGCCATTCTTATTCATGCCACCACACTCCTCAAAAGCTGACACCTCAGCTGACTGTCTATTGCTCACCAATTGAATACTGCCCCAAGCAGACTTGTTTAGCCAGGGCACCAATGTTCACCATAGAATCACTGACAGACCCGTGTGCCCACAGGCATTTTATTCTGTAATGGGACGATTTGTGTCTCTACCCTCTAATAGCTCAGACTATAACCTTACTTGCTGTGGTGGTTAGAATAGGTTTGACCCCCATAGACTCATGTGTTTGAATGCTTGGTCCACGGGTGTGGCCTTATTTGGAGTAGGTGTGGCCTTTTAGAGAAGTGTGTCACTGTGGGGGTGGGCTTTGAGGTCTGCCCAATGTGATCCAGACCCTCCTCCCAGCTGCCTGTGGAAAACACTCTCCTCCTGGCTGCCTTCGGATCAAGATGTAGAACTCACAGCTCTTCCAGTATCGTATCTGCCTGGACACTGTCGTGCACCCCTCCACGATGATAATGGACTGAACCTCTGAAACTCTACCCTGGCCCCAATTAAATGGTCTTCTTATAAGTGTTGCCTTAGTCATGGTGTCTCTTCACAGCACTGAAAACCCTAACTAAGATACTTGGAAATAGGGTAGTTATAAGTGTAGTTGTTATCAGGAAGTCATTACATCCTATCTCAATGCGACTGGTGCCATTATCTTCCAGGCATCTCCATCACAAACTTCTAACCCTCAGAACTGTAAAGAACTAGAAATGTCTACTGCCTGGTATGCTGTAGTGCTTTTAAGGGTCCCTCTCCAAAACATCCACACCCACCCTTTCTTCCTGGCCTGTGTTCTTGTCTCATAATGCACTCTTAGAATCAGAAGCTCTTGCTCAAGAAATGATGGCTAGGTTCTAGAGGTGGATGCCCTAGGTTTGGTAGTGGGGCCACCCAAGTATATAGGTGGGCACCATGTAGCCTACAGAGGTTTCTCTGAAGGGGCTGGGCCCTGGTCTCTTCTCAGATGAGTCTTTGGTTTCCATGGGTCTCTGGCAACATTTTAGTCAGTATCATAGGATTCCACAGTACTCCAAAGAAGAGAGGCCTAGTCTCCTTGTGGCTGGAGCCATTCACAGGTTGTAGGAGTGGTCCCTGAGGAAAACACAAGGCTGTATGGAACAACCCAGATGAAGTGAAGCCTATAGGAAAGTGTGAGTGGGTCCTGCAGTTGACCAAACACTGTGAGCCACTTTGTCACTACCACTGGAATCTTGCTTCACGTGGGTGTTTTTAAAGGACAGGCCTTCAAGGAAACCTGTTCATAACTGTGGGCAAAAGAGGTGGCCACTGAGTGCACTCTGTTCTACTGCTCTGGTGACCTCAGTTCAGGAATAGTTTAACATTCCTGAAATCCCAGCAGCTGTTGGCTGTGTCAGCAGTAGCCTCTTTCCCACTGAGATGTATCTGTGATGGTAAATGTGTAGGTCTCTTTGGTCTGAATAGCCCACTCTGGGGATGTCCAGACCAAGAAGGAGCACTCTTGCTGGTGCAAGTTCAAGACAGAATGGATGTGAGCTGAGGTGAAATGAGTGCTTCTGGACCACATCCCTGAAGGGACGGAATGCTTACTGCCAATCTGGTGACAGGATCTGGTAACAGGAGGTGGCATAGGGCTGCAAGCTGGAGCAGAGGCCTCGACCCTAGGATGGGAGGTACATAGTAACACTGGAGGCTGAGCAGATAGAAGAGGGCACTGGGTCCTCCCCCAAATAGCAGGGCTCCTAGGTCAGCCTGCTTTTCTTACAGCAAGAAATAAAAACTGATGCTTTATAGAAGCCACTGTTGCCTGGGGTCTTTGTTACTGGGGCTGGGAGATAAAAAGGCTTAAAGTCAGACTTGGTGGGTTCAATTCTGAGTGCTGACATTTTCTAGGGGGTGGGATGGTGGCAGGGAATCACCACAAGCCAGATGTGTCCCTTTAAATCAGATTCTACCACTAAACAATGAGGGTGGTAAAGAGATTGGTCCTCGCTGTAGTGAGAATCCACGGAAGGAGTGCTTCATGGAGCACAGGGATCAGCACGCGGATGCTCTCTGAGTTAGCAAATGCCTGCGCTGGGAGCTTGAGCAGCACACAGGCCTCAGTGTAGCTGAGCTAGAGACCTTCACAGAGCAGAGCCTGGCCGCGCATGCGCATCCCCTTAAGAGGTTGTTCAGACCAAGGAGCAGATTCACTTTGAAATGAGTGTGACACAATAAACAAGAAAAGAGGAGTCTTTTCTCTTAGCGGCTTCTTGTATTAAACTGTGAGAAATAGTCTTCTGTGGGTTGACTTGAGGAGGCTGCATCCATTAGTTTTTTCCTAATGACAAAAGAAAAAAGATGAGCAAACATGTGGGGCAAAGCCCATTAGCATTTTATCCACACGCTACTGAATCTGTCCCAACACTAACGAGCTCAAAGAGCTTCCCGGACCCAGAGAGAGGGCTCAGGGGCTAAGAGCACTTGCTCTTGCAGAGAACCCAGGTTCAGTTTCCAGCACCCACATGGAGGCACACATCATGTGGAACTCCAGTCCTAGAGGATCTGATGCTCTCTTCTGGCCTTTGTGGGCACTGCATCTAAGTAGTACACAGGAGTCATGTAGGTAAAACACCTGCACATTATTTAAAAAAAAATATATATATATATATACATATACATATACATATATATATATTTTAAATGTCAGTAACGCATGGGGACATCCCACATGAATATGACTGCATCTTGTCAGGTCATGTCTGAGGGCTCCTATTGAGCCCCAGTGGAAGCCATGGCAACTGTCAGACCCAGTGGTGACAACTGGAGCAGACCCCTGGGCTCCCTTCAGGACTCAAGTTAAGGATAGAATAATTGAGTGGCAAATGCCTACCTGGTCTCTTGCTACTTTATCTGGCATGGACACACCCCAGGACTACTCTTGGTGTTCTGTCTGTACCCAGGTGGCTGACATGTAAAAGAGCCCAGGAGCCCTGCCTGGAGAGGCCAAACAGTGGGCTACTACTGAACCCCAAGGCTTGGCCATGAAGCCTCCTCAGGAAGACCCGATTTCCCATGTGACGTGTGTTCCTCAGGCACATGAGGTACATGGTGACCTACGGGGCTGCCCACCTACTCTGCACCTACTTGAGGTCCCTGGCACTCACTGTATATACTGCTGCCTGGCCAGGTTGAGGTTGCTGCAGTCCAGGGCCCTGCGCTGTTCCCGCAGCAAGCGCTGCTGCTGCCGCTCATGCAGCAGGCTGGCATGAGCCTTCTGGATCCTGCGCAGATCCCAGTCCATGCTGTGCTGGCGCTCTTCCTCCTGAAGCCTCTGGAGGAGGAAAAGGGATTTACTACCTTCTCTTGGGCCCGGGAGCCTTGGAGTTCATCTGGGAAGCCTGGGCTCTTTTTATGGATGGGGAAACTCGAGCCTGGAGAAGGGGAGAGGAGGTGACCCACACACACACACCTCTGTCCTGTGTGGCCTGGCTGCTTTCCTGCCCTCAAATGGCATTGATGCCCTCTTACTCCTGAAGGAACAGTGGGGACCTGGCTTCCACAGTAATCCCAGCCAGGCTGATTCCTGTCAGGTCCTCAGGAGGGTTCCTAGCTGGTTTTGTAAAACCAGATACTGCCCCAGCAAGCTGTCCAACATGGGGGTTGCTTGTGGGCTCCCTGAACATACAGACATAAGCCTCACTCAGTGACAACAGTGTCACCGTGGGGGCGTTGGGGATAACCTAGTTCCAGATAACCTGCCTCTCAGCCCTGGACATGCACTCCAGAACCTTCTTTGCCAAGCATGGAGCCCTCCAGAGGAGTGGGGAGAAGTGGCTCCCAAGAGGGCTCAGCTCGGCAGACTTCCCACAGATAGTCTCCCAGGAGAAGCCACAGGGTGGGCCAGGCTGAAGGAAGGATGAGCATCCACACCCGAGGGCAGGGGTGTCCAGCATGGGCTTGTGTCAGGACAAAAGTCACCCCACAGTGGTTTAGCCACTGGCCACCTGAGAGGAGTGGCCATACTTCTAGGAATCTCAGAGGCCTCCTTGTAAAGAGACTGCTTAAAGACACCCTGCTGCCAACACACTTGCTTCACCATGAACTCCGTTTCCCCAGATCCCTCGAGGCTCAGAGAGCATGGTAAAGACAGAGTAGCAAGAGCCATGGAACCAGGGCCTGAGCAACAATTCTAATGTGGTCTTTCTCCCTTTGTGTGTTCCTGCCTTTAGATCTTCTAGATTAAAAACTGAACCAAAATGCTGGGTTCAGGGGAGGTGGCCAAACTTTGTTGCACAGCCTCACTGAACAGAAGAATGACAGACAGGCAAGGCCTGCCACTTATGTTCTGTTCTCTCTACTCAGGCCAGCCTACCATGTCCCTCTCACAGGACAGACCACCATGTCCCTCTCACAGGCTAGACCACCACGTACCTCTCACAGGCCAGACCACCATGTTCCTCTCACAGGCTAGACCACCACGTACCTCTCACAGGACAGCCTACCATGTCCCTCTCACAGGCCAGACCACCATGTCCCTCTCACAGGCCAGCCTACCATGTCCCTCTCACAGGCCAGACCACCATGTTCCTCTCACAGGCCAGACCACCATGTTCCTCTCACAGGCTAGACCACCATGTCCCTCTCACAGGACAGCCCACC